TGCAGGAACAGCAGTCAAAACAACAACAAAAACTACTGGAGCCTGAACTCCCCATGTTCTTGCTCTCAGAAGCACCGCCCTACCCAGAAGCAGGGCTTAAGAACCTATCAGCAGCCCTCTCCTACCTGCTGTGCCGGCTACTAACCCCAGACACAGCTTCAAGGGCTCCCAATCTCTGCGTGGTTAAAGCAGCACCCATCCACTCTCTTTATCACCACACTCATTTTTTAGGCCATGCTGGAATGACCTCCACATCTAGCCAATCCCAAGTGGAGGAAGCTTACCTGTCGGCGTCTCCAAGGCCCAGAGAGGTATTTCTTTGCAGGGTCTCCCGCACCACAGCCATCCCATCAGGGAGCCGGTTCAAGCGCCGGGTATAGAGGCCAAGTCCGCCATCGGTCATGTATCTTTAAAAGGAGAAAAGGACAATGAAAATGTATGGTCAAAAGTAAGTTGTGGACCATCTTGTGGTTCTAATCCAGCATCCCTGCATAGCCATAATGTGTTCTAAAGCAGGGGTCCCCAAGCCCCTGGGCTGAGGACCGGTACTAGTCCGTGGCCTCTCAGGAACAGGGCCACACGTCAGGAGGTGAGTGGCGGGCGAGCAAGCGAAGCTTCATCTGTATTTTCAACCGCTCCCCAGCGCTAGGATCGCCATCTCAGCTCTACCTCAGATCAGGCATTAGATTTTCACAGGAGCACCGGTCCCTGGTGCCAAAAAGGTTGGTGCTGCTGTAAAGGAAAGGAACTTCCCGGAGGCTGTGTCACGGATCAGAGCCCAGGGCTAACTCTGCCACTGATTCAACTCAGAGGATCACCAGCTTGCTAGCAAAAACAGAACTCAGCTTAATTAACCCAAACTCACAGGAATCTATGAAGCAGAAGGGAACTAGTGAATAAAATTAACTGTCAGATGTATTTATGACATTCTTTCTAATGTCAGCAATTATACAAACAGGTGTTTCACCTAACTAATGTGAATGGAATTGACAAGTCATTAGCAAATCATAGGGGGAAACAGTACAGAACGGGGCGGTGGCAGAAGTAGGCGAGCTTTTGAGAGAGGCAGAAAGAAAAGTAGAGGATAAAAGAGCCACCTTTGCTATCACTTCTCTGGGTCCTGGGGTTTTCATCTAAACTATGGGACTGTTAGAACCTTTCTGCATCACAAGGCGAGCATGAGAATCATGAGAATCATGAGACAAGGCATAAGAAAGTGCTCCGCAATTTGTACTAGACCATATACATCAATGACATTCTTAGGGTTATCATCACGTTGAAATATCTACAACGGTAAATTTTACCTTTGATCTCGATGTCTTAGGCGAGTTGTCACGACACTCTAAATAACATTAATGCTAATTTACTCTTTTCCAGATCTCTTGGTGATGCTACAAAGCTATCTTCTGATGAAACTAGTGTTGTCCTGGGAAGGTGGTGAGGCCAGGGGCGAGTGGTGGGTGGTGATCCCTGGAACTGACTATCCACAAACCAGACCAGTTCCTGCGATCTCATCCCTCAGAAAGAAGGAGGTAGTTCAGGTCCAAAGCAGCTTTACCTCGCCTACCTTGGCTCTTTCACACCCCCCATAAAGGAGATTGCCGTATCAATACTCCCATCCTCAGAGAACAGGAAGCAAAGTAAAACTTGGGCAGAGCAAGAAATCAAAGTCAAATCCCTTTAACTCCTACATGGGCCCTGTGAGACAGACTCAAAAGGTGTCTGAAAATGTGTTTTACATTTCAGGTCAAGCAACATGTAGTAGAAGGACCCATGAGTAGCTTATTCTCCTGAAACAGTCAGCTGAACTACCTCATGGAATATTTCACAGTGTTTAAAATTTTAGCTTTAGAATACATGGTGTGGATCCTGAAGGTTCGCGATCCTTGTGTTTTTTCCATTTCTAGTTTGGAACGTTTTAGGGATATAATCTCAGGGGAAAAAAATGAAATTATAAGATGCTGTGGAAGTTGCACAGGACCAGTAAGTTCAAGTTAGGGACAGAGAAGAAAGTTCTCACAGAAGCCATCTTGAGTAAGAAGAAGCTTCTACTATGAGTCAAAACTACCTTCCCGAGGAGCAGCTTCCAGGACACCACATCTGAGTCAAACCTCTCTGATGTCCCCTCCCCTCACCCCCTTTTACGACATTAATGACCACAATGCCAACATGGTGGAAACTGTTGGAGTCAGTCAAGCCAATGGTTGGTGGTGGGTGTACTAACAAAATAACAGCGGAACAGCTGCTTTTTCTTTTTTTTTAATACCTACAGCACCTGGTCTTCCTAGGTGGTCTCCTATCCAAGTACTAGCCAGGCTCAACCCTGCTTAGCTTCCGAGATCTGAAAAGATTGGCCGTGTTCCGGGCGGCATGGCCGTGAAATGGACTGCATTTTTCACCCAATCGTACCATTTTAAAAACATAAAACAC